CTCAGGCTCTTGTGCCTGCAAGGCAGGCAGTGCCATTAGTACATATTTTATCTACATGCTTTAAAAAAGTTAGCCCTCCAGTTACATGTCTAGGTATGATTCTAGTTTCAACTAAATAGGCAGACTCTAAATAAGGCAATGCTAACATCTGTATGAGAACACCCTGATGATTCCTGACATTCTGATCTACTATAGCTTCTAAAACTACCCCCAGGACTGCCAACACCCAGAAGAAAATATAAAATTAGGTAAGAAGAAATAATCTTTCCCTTAGGGAAAGAGTAATTCTCTATGTTTCCATGGCTGCCTTTCTAAACCCTGTGTGCTATAAGCCTACTCTTACATAATCATGCAACTCTTCCCCACCTTTGCTGACTTTTATAAAAACAAATCTCTTGTCTACAAAGACTGCCAGTTCCCAACTACAGGATTCCTCTGTAGAGATCTTTCTATAGAATTCTCTGATACTTACCAAGATCCACATGATTTCTCACCCAATCAAAACTATACTAGTACTTCTGGCACCAAAACTTAAGATATCAGTGACTCTTTTTGGTTGGAAACAAGAACCTTCTATAAAAGTACCAGCCCAGGTTTCTTGCTCAACACATTTTATACTTCTTTGGACTGTAGATTATATACCATCAATTTGGGTACCCACCTAGAAACAAATTAAGAGATTGGTGTCACAGACCCTATACAGGGAATCATTTTTCTTCCTTACTACTGTGGAAGCCATAAAACGTGACCACAAATTCTTTAATACACTCCCTTCATTAAGAAATGGCAGGGAAGTCCCTTCTATCTTAAAGATGAGTAGGATTATTACTATCTAGAACAGAGTAGTACAGAAGTCACTCTATTTCTTCTGAAACTAGATTATAAAATGTCAGCAGTATCTAAGTAGTCCTCTTAGAATACTCTCCCTCAGAGCCGTGAAAGATTATATAAGAAGTTGGACTCTTATGAGATTAAAAGCTGGAGAGGTCAAATGTAGACATTCAGGTCAATATCTTATACCCATCCAAATGCAGCCTTCCAGTGATTCCCATTAAAGGGCCAGACATGTGGAAAGCTGTTCTGGACTCTTCATATCAAACCATCTGCCAGGTGAATACCATCACATGGAGCAGAAGATACACCCAGCTGACCCTTGCCTGACTCCTGACCCACAAACTCATGAAATACAATTAGTTTTAATTTAACCTGCTAGGATTTAGAAATAGGTTGTTTATTCAGCAAGTGATAGATAATTTGACAAACCTTTTCCAATTTCACAAAGGTAAAACATAGAAAGTGGCCATCTGTGAAACATTAAGGAAGTATAGTTTTGAACAGGAAGTGAACATGCCATTTGTAAAGAAATACCATGGAACAAGCCTCTGTATGGGGGCCCAGCTGGGTCTTGCATGTTCAGGCATGTCCAGGATGGCACAGTTGATAACTTTCATGTTACAAAGGGGATGTCCCACACAAGCAGGTGTGCAAGTAACTTCCTCATCAGAATCAATGAGGTCGATACCTTTGCCATATTTGGCTCCTGCCCAGTCTAAGAAAGTAGTACATGATTCACTAAAATGGGAGTCCATTGTTTTTCATTTGTAAAAAAATTAATGTGGCCATATCCACATTCTAGGGCTATGAATTTCCCTACTGTGGTTATTCCAAATCTAATATGGAACTCTGCTTTTAGAAAGTATTCAAGTTGTCAAACACCTACCAGATTATCCAGACTGGGGTATAGAAGACCTTTTGACACAGCCCTAGGAAATGAGAGTCAGGTACAATCAAGCAATGATTTCCTGGCAAGGTGTGAAAGGCTATCATTAACCTTCACAGCATTCCTGGAATTACAGGTAAGTAGAAATGGGAAGCAAATACTCAATATGAGATTGAAAAATTGTAGAGAAGAAAGGGGTGCATGTAATTAAAGACAGAGCAATTGAGTCAGTCATGTGGCAAAGAGCGAAGTAAATGGGTAAGAAAAACAACTCAAAAGAGGAATCCTATTTTAATATGTTACTGCTTTATTACTGGATAAATAAAATTGATCAAGAAATAAGTAGAGCTAAAAAGAAGTACAGCTGAAATTTCTGGTGATGTGTGAATAAAATGGGCAGCAATCCACAGACCTTTTTGGAGCGGAAGATAATATTAATAGGGTGTGGATTAGTTAGTAGACTACCTAAAAGGATTCTCAGAAACCACCCATATTGGGCTCTCCTTAGTAACTTTAGAAACAAATTTCTTAAACTAAGAAATTTCCCAAGTCACATTTCCACAAACAGAATCTCATGGGTAATCAAAGATAACTAAATACACTTACATAATCAGCCTTTCTCCACTGTATGAAACAACTCTGTATATATTATATTTTTTTTACTACCTTATAATAAGCATAAGAGATGGGAATTTTTTTCCTTGCTTTGCACATAAGGGGGGCCTAGAATAAAAAAAGTGATTAGTCTGTGGTCAACAAGTGACATCATGGCAGAGCCAAAATTAGAGCCTAAATCTCTAATTCCCTTATCTCAAAGTTCTGCCTACAATCCCACATATCTAGGAGCCTAGGTGAAATGCGAGCAGTATTCTGAGAAGCCAGTACCACACTGGTAAAAGGGAACAGAGATTATGAATAAAAGAACCCTTGTAATTGGAATAAATGAATTTAACAAACCTGAAATGTGAATAAAAAGTCAACCTACCAAAGGAAAAAAATGGTAGGTCACTTTGCTTCCTGCATAGATTTCCCATTTTACCCTCTCCTGGCCTAATGAAATGCATACTGATTAACATAAGTATTTACAGATTAAAGGCCCAGTGACTATGAGTGGGGGCCAAGGGCCTGAATTTCAAAACAACATCCCAGATGATGGTGGTGCTACTGGTCTAGGCATCACAATAAGATTATTTTTAACACTATCAAAATAATTAGACTCTTCAAAAACATCTACTCCTTAGATACAAATCTAACAATATAAAGATATGTATAAGGAAACTACAAAATTCTTGTGAAATTAATCAAATAATATATAAATAAATGGAAAGATTAATACGTTTCTGGATAGAGGCAATAGTTTTAAGTTTTCAATTCTCCTCTACTTGATCGATACATTCACTGCAATTCTAATTAAAATGCCAGTAATTTATTTTGTAGATATTGAAAAACTGATTATAAAGTGTATAATTTATTTTAAACCTTCCTAC